TTACTGAACTATTTTGTGTTTTGTCAACGTGATACTTTTTGTTGATTGGCCGTGTCGGGTTCAAGTTCAAGTTCAAGTTCATTATTAGGTATAGCCCTGTGAGCCATTCAGCTCTTGAATCGGGTGCAACCTGCAACAAACAAAAAACAAAAACATGAACAAAAAAACATCTTAAAGTGAATATGTGACTAAGTGCAAACAGAAAATCCAAGAAAAGACAGCAAAAAATATTTCAGAAAAAACACCGTACACCAACGCTGTGTGCAAAAATCCCAGTGGGATGCAAGTCAAACAACAACAACAACCACAAGACAACTTAGATTAAGGCCATCAGTCTAACTCTGTACTACAACAACACAAACATGGCTAAACCAATACACTTTTCGAAATCACCAAAATAAAGCCATGAAGGCAATGAAAAAGCAATCATAGGAACTGACGGAATTTTCACAATAAATGGCATAAACAACATGTACTACCAAAACCCTGCAGCCATAGCTGGCTGCATGAGTCACTCCACAACAGCAGGAGCATCAATCGGAGTATTGTAATTTTTCAATGCACCTTTAAGATCAGCACACTAAATCAAAACACAGGTCATACTTTGTAGCGATCATCCGGAGCGAAACATTTTATTTTAGGTCACTGAATAGCACTGGCAGCTAGGGGTGTACAACTCCTTTAAAGCAGTTTTGAGTGAAGATCTCATAGGTAGTGACTCAAGTTTCAATTTGGTGGAGGGTTACGACACATTTATAAATAACGCGATCTAAACACAAAAAACTTTATTTTTGTCGCCGGTGTTAATGCATCTTTGTCGCCTCTAAGTGAGTGGGGGTCACCCCCTCCACCCCCCCCCCCTGCTCTACTCCCCCCCCCCATGTCTTTTGTTGTCTGTATGAGAAGCCTCTTGACCAAGGCCTCCGAGGTTCCCTCCGAGTGGCCTCCCGGCCAGGCGCACGACCACGGCGTGCATTTAGACACTCGCCCTGTGCCAGAGGCGTGGTGCTCGTAATAATGTTGGTGGTGGTGGTTGTTGTGGGAGGTGGTGGTGGTTATTGTGGGAGGTGGTGGTGGTTGTTGTGGGAGGTGGTGGTGGTGGTTGTTGTGGGAGGTGGTGGTGGTGGTTGTTGTGGGAGGTGGTGGTGGTTGTTGTGGGAGGTGGTGGTGGTTGTTGTGGGAGGTGGTGGTGGTGGTTGTTGTGGGAGGTGGTGGTGGTTGTTGTGGGAGGTGGTTGTGGTTGTTGTGGGAGGTGGTGGTGGTTGTTGTTGTGGGAGGTGGTGGTTGTTGTGGGAGGTGGTGGTGGTGGTTGTTGTGGGAGGTGGTGGTGGTGGTTGTTGCGGGAGGTGGTGATGGTGGTTGTTGTGGGAGGTGGTGGTGGTTGTGGGAGGTGGTGGTGGTGAGAGGTGGTGGTGGTGGTTGTTGTGGGATGTGGTGGTGGTGGTTGTTGTGGGAGGTGGTGATGGTGGTTGTTGTGGGAGGTGGTGATGGTGGTTGTTGTGGGAGGTGGTGATGGTGGTTGTTGTGGGAGGTGGTGGTGGTGGGTGGTGGTGGTGGTGGTGGTTGTTGCGGGAGGTGGTGGTTGTTGTGGGATGTGGTGGTGGTGGTTGTTGTGGGAGGTGGTGATGGTGGTTGTTGTGGGAGGTGGTGGTGGTTGTTGTGGGAGGTGGTGGTGGTGGGAGGTGGTGGTGGTGGTTGTTGCGGGAGGTGGTGGTGGTTGTTGTGGGTGGTGGTGGTGGTGGTGGTTGTTGCGGGAGGTGGTGGTGGTTGTCGTGGTAGGTGTTGGTGGTGATGTTGGTAGTGGAGATGGTGGTAATGATGGATGTGGTGCTCGTAATGCTGTTGGTGGTGGTTGTTGTGGGAGGTGGTGGTGGTTGTCGTGGTAGGTGTTGGTGGTGGTGGTGGTAGTGGAGATAGTGGTAATGATGGGCGTGGTGTTTGTAATGTTGTTGGTGGTGGTTGTTGTGGGAGGTGGTGGCGGTTGTTGTGGTGATGGTGGTGGTGGTGGTTGTGGTAGGTGGTGGTGGTGATGTTGGTAGTGGAGGTGGTGATAGACATGGTGATGGTGGTGATGGTAATGTTGACAGTGGTGGTCATGTTGGTGGTGGAGCTGCTGCTGCTTGTGAAGGTGGTGCAATTGGTGATGTTGATGATGTGGTGATTGAGGTGGTGGAGTTGCTAGTTGTGGTTCGCGGTGGTGCTTTGCGGTTGGCGTGAGAGGGGGGGCTCGGTGGGTGGGGGGGGGGGCGCTGTACAAATAAAGCGACAGGAGTGGAAGACTGAGGAGGAGGAGGATGAGGAGGAGGCACAAAGGGAGAGCGCCAGAGAATGGCGAGGAGAGGCGCTGAGTAGCCGGCTTTCTTAACGAAGGGGAGCCGCTGGGAGACGCGGGGAGCGTGGGGCGAAGCGAGCGAGAGAGGAGTGACTCTCCACTCGGAGCCGAATGTCTGGAATTCCTCCTGGTTGTTCAGCGAGCAGCAGCAGCAGCTGCAGCTCCTGCCAAGCCCAGCTCCACGCACGCACGCACGCCAGCGAGCTCCAAGTCCTTGGATTTCTTTTTGCTCTTCTTGTCCTTTGCGTGGAACAATCGGCGAATTCCTTTCCTTTTGTTCCCCTTGTTAAATTATTTATTTCCTTTCCCCCCCCCCCCTTTATCCCTACAAAAGCCACGCCGGGCAGTTCCATTGTGAGACCTTCCCAACGGCGGGGCAGCGGGCGGCTGCGTTCGTCAATTGAGAGACTTATTGAGCTCCCGTTATTTCAACAACAAAAATCCTCACGCTCTTTCTTTGGCGCTCCCTCTCCCTCCACTGCCCCCATGGAGGGGGGGCGAGGGGGTGACGCTGGGGGGGGGTGGGGGGGGCCCGTGCTATCGTTGTTTCTGGTTGGTTGTTTTTGGCCGGTTCTTGCGATCCCGATTTCTCGAGACGTCTTTAATTTCCCGTTAATCCGGCGCAGCCATAACACCGAAGGTGGGTTGCGGTTTCTCCGTGCGTGGCTTTTCCCGCGTCCCTCTGTACTGCGGGCAGGGCCGCCCCTCGGCGAAGCTTGCAGCGACTCCCGCGGTGCCCCCTCGCATCGAGACCCGTCGGCGTACACAGAGACCCGTAGACTCACACACAGAGACATAGACTCACACGGAGACCCATAGACTCCCACAGAGACCCATAGACTCCCACAGAGACCCATAGACTCACACACAGAGACATAGACTCACACGGAGACCCATAGACTCGCACAGAGGCCCATAGACTCACACACAGAGACATAGACTCACACGGAGACCCATAGACTCCCACAGAGACCCGTAGACTCGCACGGAGACCCATAGACTCGCACGGAGACCCATAGACTCCCACAGAGACCCATAGACTCACACACAGAGACATAGACTCACACGGAGACCCATAGACTCCCACAAAGACCCATAGACTCCCACAGAGACCCATAGACTCACACACAGAGACATAGACTCACACGGAGACCCATAGACTCGCACAGAGGCCTATAGACTCGCACGGAGACCCATAGACTCGCACGGAGACCCATAGACTCCCACAGAGACCCATAGACTCACACATAGAGACATAGACTCACACGGAGACCCATAGACTCACACAGAGAACCATAGACTCACACAGAGACATAGACTCGCACGGAGGCCCATAGACTCGCACGGAGGCCCATAGACTCGCACGGAGACCCATAGACTCACGCAGAGACCCATAGACTCACGCAGAGACCCATAGACTCGCACGGAGATGGACAGACTAACACAGAGACCCATAGACTCGCACAGAGGCCCATAGACTCGCACAGAGACCCATAGACTCGCATGGAGACCCATAGAATCGCACAGAGACCCATAGACTCACACACAGAGACATAGACTCGCACAGAGGCCCATAGACTCGCACGGAGACCCATAGACTCGCACAGAGACCCATGGACTCGCATGGAGACCCATAGACTCGCACAGAGATGAACAGACTAACACAGAGGTGTTACGGGGGGGGGGGGGCATCCTTACAGCAATGCCCCACTCTGCTCGCTACTCCTGACTCGTCCATCTCGCTCAACAACCTCGACGTCAAGTCACAGCTGTTGCTTTGCACCAACATCAACCACGCAAAGAAGGAGAAGACGGAGTAGCAGAGGTCGCAAACGGGTTTTGATTCCTAACCCGTACCCGTACCCGGCCGCACCAGGGTCGCAAACGGGTACCCGTACCCGGCCGTACCCTACCCGTACCCAGCCGGGTACGGGTAGGGTACGGGTTTCGGGATATCCGATTGCGACCTCTGGGATGAAGCCATGTTGCAGGCGTGGGTGGGTTGATTCTAGGAACTTGAATTGTGAGGGTATCGGGTACCCGGTTGCGACCTCTGCGGAGTAGATGGTTCACTTGTGCTTCCAGCCCTTGCGTCAGTTCAACACGTGGTTGGCTTTCGCGATCAATATTATCCACGAGAGAGAGGTTTTTGGGTTTGATGGAGTGAATGTGAGTGAATGTGTGTCGTTAAAGCCGCCGCCACCGCCCGACACAACCATACTCGTCGGTTCTTTCGGTAAAGTCACGTAGGTAGAAAAATCAGTAATATTTAAAAATACTGCTTTTTAAAACACGATTTACACAATGTACCATACGACTAATGGCAGAACTCCAGGAAGTGGCCACGAGGCTTGCCACAACGTTAGCGGCCGTGGTGATTTACAGCCAACGTGAGTTGAGCGTGGACAATTAGAGCCAAGGCGAAACACAACTTTTATGATAGAATATAGTGTTGTCATCAGTGAGACATACGTATACCAAGTTTGCAGTCGATACCACATGGGGAAGTGGGTTAAAATTGAGTTACAAGATTTGAGGATACGACAACAACAGACAGAGTGAGTTAATAGAAAGCGTGTAAAGGCCTCCGTAGGCGCTTGCTTGCCCCAACACATCTCTTGAAGGCAACACTCTCGTTGTGTCTGTGCGGGTCGTGCGGGTGGTACAGATCAGACGCCCACGCCCACGCGCTTCCTGAAGAACTGCGAGGAGGTGGGGCTCTTCAACGACCTCAACAGCCCCTACGAGCTGGACTTCAAGAAGGAGCAGGATGAGGAGGAGAAGAAGGTGAGGAGGGCGGGGGATGGCGGGTGAACTTTGCGCGCGCGCCTGTTAATGTGGAGCGAAGGTGCTGCTCGGGTGAGGGTGGCGGTGGCGGTGGTCAGTGACTGACTGGGACTAACACACCGGGCCTCGCATTGGGGCTCTGCAGTAGCTGCTCGATGTTTCAGTAGCGTACTCCTCTCTCCTACTTGCCGTCCTCGTCCTTAAAACCTCAACCATCCTCCCCCCATTCCTAACCTCGCCCCATCTCCCTTTCCCTATCGTCACCCTCGCTAACATACTCCCCGTTAAATTTTTCGTTTTAAAGCTTTCGTGACTGCAGGGATTCATCTTTGTGGTTCTTTCGGTAAAGTCACGTAGAAGGGAAATAATAAAAATAAAACATAATAAAATACAATTCTCACGACGTTTCGGCCACAACGCAGGCAGCCGTCCTCAGGTGAAGAACAGGGCTGTTGGAAAGACATTCAGACGCTGTCTTTCCGACAGACCTGTTCTTCACCTGAGGACGGCTGCTTGCGTTGTGGCCGAAACGTCATGAGAATTATTTTATTATGTTTTATTTTTATCATTTTATTATTTCCCTTCTACGTGACTTTACCGAAAGAACCAAGAAGATACTCCCCCTTCCTAACATCGCCCCTCTCCCTATCATCACCCTTCCTTGCCATCCCTTCCCCTCCCCGAACACTCAAACCTCCCCCCATTCCTCTTCCCCATCCGCCAATAATTGTTAATGCACAATTTATAATGTAAAGCGCTCTCGCATAAAATCCCAGCTAGGATGTTATTGTTGCGGCGTTGCGACGCGGTGGTAACGTGACGGCGTGGTTCGCGTGGTTTTTTGCGTTTCGATCTCGTTGGCCCCTTTTGCGCTGGGTCCAAACAAAAACAAATAAATGGCTTTAGCCGGTGACATATTTGTATGTATTTGGGGACTGCCGAGTATGCCAACCGAGAGCGTAAATAAGCGATCAACCGTACACATGAAAAGGTGATAAAATATTTTAACAATATTTTTAAAAAATTTTATTTTACGGTGATCACATTTGCAATTTCACCGCAAGGACCGGCTCCACC